TGGGCCTGAGGAATTTTATTCTGGTCTTGTTCTAAGGTACCTCTCAAATGAGCAGTTCTGCTTAAATCAAGTGTTTCCCCCTCGTACATTGTTGGTAGAAATGTAAATTGGTGCAGTCACTGTGGAAAACACTATGGAGGTTTCCCAAAAAACTAAAAATAGAATTACCATATGACCCAGCAATTTCACTCCTGGATATATATCTGAAAAAAAAAAAAACCCTAATTCAAAAAGATACGTGCGGGCTTCCCCCGTGGTGCAGTGGTTGAGAGTCCGCCTGCCGATGCAGGGGACGCAGGTTCGTGCCCCCGTCCGGGAAGATCCCGCATGCCGCGGAGCGGCTGGGCCCGTGAGCCATGGCCGCTGAGCCTGCGCGTCTGGAGCCTGTGCTCCGCAACGGGAGAGAGGCCACAACAGTGAGAGGCCCGCGTACCGAAAAAAAAAAAAAAAAAAAAAGATACGTGCACTCCAGGAGCTTCCCTGGTGGCGCAGTGGTTAAGAATCTGCCTGCCAGTGCAGGGGACACAGGTTCGAGCCTTGGTCCAGGAAGATCCCACATGCCGCGGAGCAACTAAGCCCGTGCGCCACAACTACTGAGCCTGCGCTCTAGAGCCGCGAGCCACAACTGCTGAGCCCACGTGCAACTACTGAAGCCCACGTGCCTAGAGCCCATGCTCCGCAACAAGAGAAGCCACCGCAATGAGAAGCCTGCGCACCACAACAAAGAGTAGCCCCCACTCACTGCAACTAGAGAAAGCCCATGTGCAGCAACGAAGACCCAACACAGCCAAAAATAAACAAATAAATAAATAAATTTATTTTTTAAAAAAGATACATGCACTCCAATGTTCATAGCAGCATTATTTACAATTGCCAAGGTATGGAAGTGACTTAAGTGTTCACCAACAGATGAATGAATAAAGATGTGGTATGTACGTAATGGAATACTACTAAACCATTAAAAGGAATGAAATTTTGGGCTTCCCTGGTGGCTCAGTGGTTGAGAGTCCGCCTGCCGATGCGGGGGACATGGGTTCGTGCCCCGGTCCGGGAAGATCCCACATGCCACGGAGCAGCTAGGCCCGTGAGCCATGGCCGCTGAGCCTGCGCGTCCGGAGCCTGTGCTTCGCAATGGGAGAGGCCACAACAGTGAGAGGCCTGCATACTGCAAAAAAAAAAAAAAAGAAATTTTGCCATTTGTAGCAACATGAATGGACTTGGAGGGCATTATGCTAAATGAAATAAGTCAGACAGAGAAAGACAATTACTGTATGATGTCACTTATATGTGGAATCTAAAAAATACAATAAACTAGTGAATATAACAAAAAAGAAGCAGACTCACAGATATAGAGAACAAACTACTGGTTACCAGTGGGGAGAGGGAGGGAGGGAGGGTCAATATAGGGGTAGGGGAATAAGAAGTACAAAACTATGAGGTATAAAACAAGCTATAAGGATGAAGTGTACAACATGGGGAAGATAGCCAATATCTTATAATAACTATAAATGGAATATCATCTTTAAAACTTGTGAATCACTATATTGTATACCTGTAACTTATATAATATTGTGCAGTGACTATACTTCAATTAAAGAAAAAAATTAAGTGTTCCCCAAAGTGTCCATTGAAGGCCCAAGTCATCCTTGGTGAAGTTCTGCTAAAGGGGACACAGGTTGGATTGAGAAGACTCCTGGCTACTGTCAGCTGAAAGTTACAGTCAACTGAAGTTGCTTTTACAATCTTCTGTCTCGGGCCCCTGACCTAATGGTCAGCTGCCTCTGAACACAGACCCAACTACCAGAGTCCCTGGCAGGTAGAATATATCAGAGAGAGAGAATGCTCTCTTCGAATCAAAATCAAGGTCTCAGGACAAACAGCCAGGATGGGAGGACATTTTTTCTGGCTTTATTGGTGACTTACAGCAAAGTTTGCTCTCAGAGGGTGCTGATCTGCAGAGAACTGCCACCTCCCTGTTCTGTGAGGCTGGTTCAGCCAGCTTACAGGAATGAGGCCTGTGTTCCACTCTGTGGTCCTCCTCCTCTCGACAAAATAACACTCAAGGACACAGGACAGAACAAAGGGACGGGTGGAAGCAAATCACTAAGGACGCAGCTCTAAAGGGGAACCCTAGCCAAATATAAACACCCAGTATTCGACAAGTGAGTAAAACAGCCAAGGAACCTAAAGGAGAGCGGAGTTGAGGTCCCGCGTAAACGGACTTGTTGATATGGACGATGGTCCACGGGCAGTGAGGCTCGAGGGCACCACACCTGGACAAGAGCCACGGTCCACAGTGACAGGCAGGTCAGGCTGGAGCTGAGTCATGGCACCAAGATTGCAGTCAGAAAAATCAAACAAAACCCAAGAGAAAATTAGTCAAAGCTGTTTCTTTATAAACTTGCAGCCACAGGGAACCGTCTGCAGTCACTTTCGTTTTCACAGGGGTTCAAAGGTGTCTGAAAGGAGAATAAGTTTCATAGGGGAAGAAAGAGGAAATGCTGGCAGTCTGATTGGCAAGCATTTTCTTCGGGGGGATTTTGGAAACGGGAGACTCTGATAGACCTTCAAATCTATTTGCCAGTCCTTGATTGGTTCACTATCCATCAGTTATAAGACTGGGAAATTTTCAGATTTTCCTGGGGTTTTTTTAGGAGGGTTATTTTGAGAGATTTCTCAAGCATAGGAGGACGCCTGGGCCAGACAGAGACCAAGCAGGGCTCCCTTCCTTTGTGTGGTGATGTATTGTTCTTGGTCCCAAGAGTGCAATTCTTGGGACACAGTTTCCTCCTGTGTGCAAAGCTGCAATGGGACTTTGCAGAGACTGTGCAGGCGGTTCCAATAGGCCCATGTTCGGATGGCTGACAAAATTAAGTAAGTGATGTAACACAGCTACAGAGAGGGCAGGAGCAGTTAATCTGCCATGAGGTAGCACTGGCTTCTGTTCACCAGGGGCTCCGGAGGATGACTGGAGCCAGGCTGGGTATTTTCATCAATGTAGCAGTTGTTGAGCATCTGTTGACATCAGGCCCTGTGCTAAGTACTAAGGACACAGCAGAGAACCATTTGGCCCTTGCCCTACTGGAGTTTGCAACCAGAAAGACAGGATAGACCTTGAACAAGCAATTCCAAGTGTGTTGAATATTGGAGGAGAAGCAAGGCCAGGGAACCATGAGACAGGGCCTGACACTCGCTGGGCCAGATAAAGCATTTTAGGAAGAAATATTTATGCTGAGCCTGGAAGGAGAGTTAGTGAGGCCAAGGGGTGGGAAGGGGATTGGTGTGGCCTGAGAGTTCCAGGCAGAGGGAACAGCATGTGTTAAGGCTCTGAGGTGGCAAAAAGGATGACACGTTCAAGGAAGTGAAAGGAGCCCAGCAAGCCTGGGGTCCGAGCAAAAGGGTAGAGGAGGGCTTAAGGCTAGAGGGAGGAGGGGGACATGCAGGGCCTTCGAAAGCACGCCAAGATGGTTAGACTTCGTCAAAAGGGCAGTGGGAAGCTGTCAAAGGCTTTTATACGAGGGTGTGACATCAGATTTGCACTTTGAAAAGATCCTTCAGGCTGTTGTGTGAAAAAACAAACAAACAAACAAGATTGGAACAAGCAAGAGGGGACATGGAGCAGATATTACAGCCATTCAGGGGAGCAGAGATGGTGACATGGGCCCGGGGTGGGACGGTGAAGACAGAGAACGATGAGTGAGCTCATGAGGTGATTGAGGGTCTAGAATTGATGAGACTCAGCAATGAATGATCTGTTGGGGCTGAGGAGATGAAGCTTTCAAGAATCATTCTTGGGTCTGTCTACAACCACTGCTGCCACTTCCTGTAGGAGTGCAAATGAGTGCAGGAAGAGCATACGTCCCGTTCTTAACTCCTTGAGTTTGAAGTCCTATGAAGTATCAAAGTAGAGATGCTGAGTCAATGAATCAATAAGTTTATGGGGTTTGAAGGTTGAAAGAGAGGGCTGGCTGGAAATGGAAAGGTAGGAGTCAGTGATGCACAGATTTTAAATGAAGCCGTGGGTGTGTGTGTGTGTGGTTGGGGGGTGAGATCACCTTGGGAGACAGAGAGAGAAAGAGGAAGGTGCAGGCCAGAGTGTTGAGGAGCTCCAGAAGCAGAGGGGGAGCTGGCAAAGGAGGCTGAAAAGGAAGAACTGGAGAGAAGAAAGCAGGAAACTGCAGACATGCAGGCCCAGGACAGCACTTTCTGAGAAGAAGGGTAGCAGTCAGCCGTTAAACGCTGCTGAGATGTCAGGTAGGACGAGGTCTGAGGGCCTCACCATCCAGTGGATTGAACAAATTGTTGATCTTAGAGTACGTCTGCTAGAGTGACGGGAGCAGAAGCCATGGTGGAGGGCAGGGGAGATGAACGAGGGGAAAGGGTTTTAAAAGGTCACCCCCTCGGGGATGGGCGAGGGGTTGTGGTGGCCAGCCTGCAGGGGCTGGTGCAGGAATCCAGGCGAGAGATGCTACAGGTCAAGAGCCTGGAGCCTCGGTCTGCTTAAGAAAACCTGGATCTCAACGTCTGCAGAGAGGAACAATTGGAAACTTGGCTCCAGGTGGCTCCCAGAGCAAAGATGAAAGGGAGTGGGGCGTAGGACGAGGCATCCGGGGTTTCCATGGAGACCACCCTGAGCTTCCGGCCGCTCTCTGGAGAGCCTGGGATTAAGACATACAGCCCTGGGTGTTCCTGGTCACACGTGTTTGGCCCCTAAGAGGCCTACAAGGGTGAATCAAGGAACAAACGGAAATGAACAAAAGTAAGGAAGTATTGTGTCTTGGGTTGAGGACTGGCCTTTGGGGCAGAAAAAACAGTATTAAAAATCTGGTCTCACCACCTGCTCTCCGTGTGATCTTGGGCAAGCTTCTAAACATTTCTGTGGTTTCTTAGAGACTGTCTTCAGAGATGTTACAGTATGAAAATGTTCGGGGATTAGAATGGAGAAAATTAGGAATTTGAAAATTCTTTTTCCTCAGGTTTTCTCTTCTGGGTTCTAACAGGTTATAACCCTGCAGTTATAAAGAAGGTCCTTCCAGAATCAGGGAGAGAAGAAAGGAGTACAGGCTGGCCTGCCTCAGCCAGCAGTGCCCCGAAGAGAGGCACACAGGCGCTCCCTGGGAAACAGAGCCTGAGGTGACAAAGCTCCGCAGGGCTGTGCCTAATCCAGGCCTGGCTACGCTGATGACTGGAGCCCAGCGCATATCTGCCTGCCCAGCCCCGCCTGGCCCAGCAGGCCAACCTGCATCGGCGCCCTGGGACAGAAGGCCGGCCCCCTCCCACTCCCAGCCCACTTGCACGGCCCTCTCCCCAGGTGATGCCCATCACAGGTAAACAGGGAGCCGGCCAAGCAAGCACACTTGTGTATCGTCATCATTACTAAGGCTATTAACACCACGTGCAGCGTGTGTGAGGGTGGATGACGGCCCAGCTCCACAGCAAGCTGGTGACGCCAGGCCACAGCCGTCTCCTGCCCCACAGCCCAAGGCCCAGAGGCCCCAGTCTGGATCAGCAGTGCGGATGGAGAGACGTCGACAGCCGGTAAGCTGCCCCGATTTGGTGGTAGAGAGGTGCTCTTCCGTCTCTGGATCCGTGGTCCGGGAGAAGCCCTCCTAGCAGGTGGTCCACTCTGAACACAGGCCAGGGAAGCATGTGGGGTCAGGCCACGAGGGGCTGCAGGAACCAGGATACTCCCGGCATGGTCCTAAGCACGCGAGGTTCCCAGGAAAGGCCAGGAGACTGTGGTTATTCCCTTTGGATTTGAGGAACAGATCATAACTCTCAAAGGATGCCAAAGAAATGGAATAAGGGAAAGCTTAGCCACATGGCACAGTTCCCTCGGGAGCACCCCCCTCAGTGGGCAGAGGACTCTCACACCACTTCTCTCCCCAGGGCACTCCCCCGGCCCTGCCCTGGGGATCTCAGCTCTGGAAGATCCAGGGAAGAGCTTCTCCTGTGTTCCAGTGCCTACTGGCCATGCTGGCCGACCTGTCTCCATGGGAACCCTCTTCCCAGAATGGAGATGCGGGCCCTGGTTTTTATGTTGGTATCTGCTAGTGCAGGGTCTGTGTCGAGTGTCTCTGACTTGAACCTGACCACTCCTGGGCTGTGGTAGAGAGGGCAAGCACTCCGGGTTCTACCCTGAGTAGCTGAGCAATTGGGCAAGTTACTAATCCTCTCTGAGTTTTCATTTCTTATCAGTAAAACTGGCCTAAAAATTCCATTGCTGCAGGTGGTCGGGGTGATTCAGCCCTACATGATGAATGGGGAAAGAGCCCTGGACTTGAATCAGGGAATCCAAGACCTATAACTCAGGCCCTTAGTCACAGACTGGCCCTCCGGCTTTCTCTGCCTCGGTCTCCCCCTCTGTACAATGGGGGTGGAGGGCACTGACTAGATGGCCGCTAAGGTTCAGGTGCTCTCTGACCAGTTCTGACCTAATCCCTGCTGCTTTCCTGCCTCTGGGTGGGATCCTCCCAAGGAGGGGAAAGGAGGTCACAGCCGGGCGTCCACCAACTGGGATGGAGCAGAGCATCCCTGTTTGGTTCTCTGGTCCTCCTGAGATGGCCTCCACAGGTTAGTGGGTACCTGGAGCCCGGGCCGTGAGGTGGTCAGGCTGGGTGGCCCGCTCAGACTCAGCGCTCATGAGGGAATGGTCGTACTGCCAGACTCTCCTGCCCAGCTGGGTGCATGAGCCAGAGGCTGCCCTCCAACAACGCACAATCAGACTCCCCGGGTTTCCCTCCGGAAGGGTGTTTAAGACCATTTCATCAGGCTCATCTCTCAGTCACGCCTGGGAGAAACTCACAGCTGTGGAGGTAGAAGACTTGGGTCAGAACCTCCTCTTTACAACTTACTGGTTTGGTGACCTTAGTCAAGGCTTTTAAGCCTCATGAATGTAGCTGATATTAAATGAGATAATTCATTTATGAGTTTGATTAGAACATGCCTGGCACCCAGTAGGTGCTTAGCAAATGCTGTTCAAGTCTTCACCTGGGTGTAGGTGCACTAAGGTGTACAGATGGGGAAACGCATTGACGACACCCCCCAAGCCCTGCTCGGGGCGGGGGAGGGTGGGAAGGGGCTCGGGGGCTGCCTGGCTGATCATCTCAGCCTGCAGATCGCCCCATCTGCTCAGACTCTGTGTTGTGCAAATACCACCATCTTCCGTGTGCTGGGAGGCATAAAGGTTGGGAAGCACTGGGGGGTCTGGGGGGCTCAGAGTCTGGAGATGGTGGATGAGAGAGGGGAGAGAGGGACCAACAAGCAGAACAGCATGTGATTTGGAGGATGTCAGGGCTCATGCCGTGGGGGCCACATGCTCCCCACCTGTAAATGGTGGCCAGTTGGTGACGGTGCCCTTCTCTGCACAAAGGTTTGTGCGGGAGAGGGGTACCCTATATGCTTGAAGTAGGCAGGTCGTCTCACCCCTTCCGCAACTGCTGTTGTCCAGTTCTTCACACTGCATGTGAGAACATGGAATTCATGCCATCAGTCTCACAGGCCGGGAAACCAAGATGCACGGAAGAGGAAAAGCCTGCAGGTGGTAACGGGCACCATGGCTGTTCTGGAACTGTAGCCCACACATCCTGGTGCTCAATGACTGGGCCTCTCCAGGTGCCAGAATCTGGCCCTTTCCCCATCTACTCCCTGACCTTGGAGGGAAGCTCCAGCATTTTACCCAGGGTTCCTGTGGGTTTCCTCTCTGGAGAGGCTGCCAGGTCAGTCTGACTTTGTCAGCATCCATGGCCCGTTCTGGCATCAAGCCACGTCCCAGGGACCTTTGGCTCGTCCAGAACAGCAGAGATGAAGCCCTCTTCATCCCTCAGTGCTGGGCAGGCCTGGCTCAACTGGAATCCATCATTAAACTTGATGCCCAACCCCCAGCCTAGGCCAATTAATTCAGAAGGTCCGAGGGTAAAGCCCAGGCACAGGTATTTTTCTTGAAAGCTCTCCAGGTGATTCCAATGTGCAAGCCAGGCTTGAGAACCAAGGAGCTGGGAGAATAATCGTGTGACCTTGGGGAAGACCATGGGCTGTGAGCTTCAATGTTGCTTCTCCATTATTTTTTCCCATCGTGCTTCATGGTATTAGAGCATTGTGCCTGTCTCTTTCTACTCAGTGTTCTGTCCTAAAACATGATGTGTATCCCTTTCATCTTTTCTGTTCTGTCCTGTTGAGCTGATCTTTTTATAGTAGTTTTGGTCTCTTTCCTTTTTATTCTGACTTTCATTCATTTATTTATTCATCCAACATTGAATGAATGCCTGCTATGACAGGCAATATGCCAGCCGCGGGGGACATAGCAAAGAACAAGGAGGACAGGTCTCATGGAGTGTATGTTCTACTGGGATTTGCCCTGTCCTTTTTTTTTTTATTACTAATGCTGTGATATTTGAAAATTGTATTTTTTCTAGACATGCATTGCTGGTCCCTTCTTCATTTTGTCTCTTACTTTTTCATTCCTTAATTAAACTCTTCTTATCATTAGTATATTGATTATAAGAAAATCCACTGCCCCAGGGAAGCTAAATCTGCTCAGTTACTTGCACTGGACAGTGTTTTGCCCGTGTGTGTGTGTGTGTACATCCAGGCTTGTGTTTTGTATCCACAGGAACACTGGCATCTAGGTAACATTCAGGTTTGGAGATGCCTAATCCAAGCCTCTTTTCCCTTCTGTGGCTGGGAAGGGCTTGGAGAACACAGGCTTGGTTAAACCAGTTGTCTCTGCCTTTGGAGAAGAGTTAGCCAATGAATGAAGATTTGTTGAGGGCCTCGTATGTGCAGGACACTGAGCTAGGTGCTCTGGTGGGGAGGGGTTCCAGGGGTGCCAAGACGACAGGAAGAGAAAGGCCCAACTTCTCCCTCAGGAGGCCTACCAGGATCCTGCGACTAGTTCCATGCAGGAATGAGTGACACGAGGCTGTCATGGTGAGGGCCAGTAGGTGCTTCAGAAAAGCTGAAACTGGGGCAGACAATTCTCAGGGCATGAGTGGCATCCGTGCAGATTATTCTGAAATTGACACCCCTGGTTCCACCCCTGCCACAGTTCTGGTGTGTACCCTTCCTCTTCTAGCCATGGGTCTTTTGTAAGATAGGCACCAGTGGGTACTTGTCCTAAATGACAGGCACACATTCTACCACATTGGCAGAGCTCACCCAGGAGCCAGGGATTAGGTTTTCCTTTGTTGAAAGAAGAGAACAATTTTATTTACTACTGCTCACAACCATTAAAAAGAACCACAGGCATCACTTCTAGCTCCCGGTACACGGGAATTTGGTGTAGCTGCATCTTTCACCAGAGGGAAAAGCAAATCTGTTTCCTTCTTCTCAAAGTCTAAGGATTTCTTTATGGATCTGATCTACTACTCTCTGAGGTAGTGGTTTTCTTTTTTTCTTTTTCTTTTTCACTGTGACCCATGTTTAGAAATACATATTGTATCACCACATGTAGCTGAAATGAAAGTTTCTCAAAACATTACTTACCCTTACTATATGCAATGCCCTTGGTTATATTATATCCCATTCATCCCATTCAATTTTTTAATGGGCTGATCATCCACCAAATTAAATTCATGGGATAATAATGGGTTGTTACCCCCAGTTTGAAGAATACTCTTCTAACGCCAGTGCCCCTTTAATCCGTACAGGCCCTGTGGCCAAGGCTTGGCCTAGCCCCGCCTTGTGGTTTCTTGGACAACAGCACACTCTCAGCTTTTTTAGTCACTAAGATGCCTTCTGACCAAGGCATGGACTGCCATCCCTAAGAGATTTGAATTCATGGGCCTGTGCCTTTCGCAAAAGGAACACCTGCTGATTGTTGCTAAAGTCTGAAGTGAAGCATCTTACCTTCTCTAGGACTTGTCCTCGTAGGACATTTTAGTAGCAAAAATCAGAGAAGCTTATAAGCTTTTGGAGTTTGCCTCTGGCTTTTGACAAGTCCTTTGTCCATTGTTTTCACAGCTGCTAATAGATCACATAGGTCATCAGTGCTAATTAAGCTAACACCTAAGGAGCACACCACAGAGGATGACAAGAATGCCCAAAAAATGTTATTCCCCCCTGCCTCACAGTTGATGAGAATTCCTTGATGCACTGACAGGACTCAAAGATTTTTTTATCTAAGAGAGACTTCAGTCTGTACTATATAAAAATGCTTCACACAGGTTAAATATGTGTTTAAGTCATTTCTCAATTTTTCTAAATGGAAAAGAGGTGAGAAGTTGGTATGTGTGCCAGTCCAGCTGGGCCATAATGGTCATGCAGAGAAGTAGTAAGAGACGGAAAGGAATACACAGACTGCAGAGCTAGGCTATTTCTGCCCATTTCCCATCACGCTTCCCACCCCACCTCCAACTGGCTTAAGCATGAGTGGGGACCTATGAACACCCATTCAGTCCAAGTAGGTTCGGGGATGCTCCTCAAAGCTGTTGGTGGCCTGGAGCTGAGTGGACTCCTGACATCCTTGTAGCAGGACGGCAGCTTTGGGTCTCTCATTGAGCTTTGTGGGAAGTTTGGTGAAGATATCAAGCGTCAGATGCCCAGAAGCATCTATGTCCAAATGGCCCCTGCACACACGCCTTGGGTTTACTTCTTCTTCCTTCTCTGCCTTGTGTGCCGCCCTCTGCCAGGCTCCAGGACCAGCCAATGGTCAGCTGGTCAAGTTGTATCAGTGCCTCCACACTCTTGGTGTGACCTGAGACCTCCGTGCAGCCCTGAGGCTGAGCCTTAGGCACAGCTAAACCAGTGGTCATCCACAAGCCACATTTTTCTGAGCAGGTGAAAAAGGAAAACAACACTTAATATCTGGAAGCCAGAAACAAGGGGCCGCCCACTTAGTCTTCACTTTATACTTAAGAGAACCCAACTATGATTTTAAATATTTGAGAAAAGTGTCAGCAGATCAAGACCTGAGGTTGGGTGATAGAAACCAGCTCCAGACTCCTAGCTAGATCTCAGAAGTCAGGCTCTCAGCCTTGCTGCCATAAGGGTCACCAAAATGCGAGGATGATTTAAATATATTTGTTCTATTAACTAAAGGCCATTGTTCCTTGATACTTGTGGGAAAAAAATTCAACTTTACCCCCTCAAGGCTTGTCACCCAGGCTTTAAACTCCAGCGCCACCTGCCCAGTTTGGACCCAGCCCAGCATTCTGACTTCGTTTGCCCAAAGGAAACTTCTAGTTCTATCAGATGAGTTCCATGGCTCACCTGTCTGGCTAACATCTGTCAATTCAACATGCAGACAATAAATGTGTGGCACACACTTCAGCCCAACACTCCCAGCCACCCCGGCTCTAGGCGCAGGGCTCGGAAAAAACCTCTCTGTGCCATGGAGACTAGGGAACCCAGAGGCACTCCTGAGACACTGTGGGAACACATTGCCCACTAGAGATCTCACATTCGGAGATGGCTGGTTTACAGTTGTTACAGAGTACTTTCACTTCTTTCATGGCTTTTAGTTCCATAGCTTACAGCGGAAAAGCTGAGGCTAACCTAAGGGATGCCCCCCAAGCTCTGATGGCTGTGGCCGACCTGGGATTCCAGCCCAGTGCCAGCAATTTCCAGTCCCCCGACGCTAACAATTTCTGGGCACTCACCATCCTGGAAGGCCATGCGAAGGGGGCTGTGTGGTCCTGGTCTTCTGGTGCCTTTGTCTAGAACATGCCACCCATCTTTGACCCATCTACCTTGAGAGGTCGTCTACCTAAATGTTAATATTTATCATTTACAGCTGGTCACTGCCCTTTCAAAGGTGAAGACAGTAAAATTTATGACAGGCGTCCTATCAGACAACAGAGGAGCATAAAAGGAGAAGGAAGAGTGATAGCCCATGGGTCCGCGGACGTCTGGAGGGTTCTAGCATGGGGCTGCGGCCACGCACTTTCCTCCTGGGGCTGCTGCTGCTGCTGCTGGGGCGAGGTAAGTCTGCCTTTTGCTCAGGGGGCAACCAATGGGTCAGCCCTGCTGGTGTCCCATGTTGCTTCGGCACAGAGCTTGGGAGAGGAATTTTCAGTGAGCACGAAACGCACAGGTGAGAATAAGCAGGCTGCAGTGCTGAGCTTAAGTGCCCACAGCTGTGGGGGATGGGCAGGTCTTAGGACAGGTGAGAAGTGTGGGCGGGCAACAGCCCCGTGGTGGGGAAGCAAAAAGCCATAGGTGTAGGAGTCGTGAAGACCCTGATTCTAGCGCTCTGTGATGCGTGGCCTTGGGCAAGTCCTACCTCCCTGGACCTTGATTCTTAACATGGAAAAGTACCACTATGACCACTAATGGTAAGCACATTTTGATCATTACATGGGCTTTGTTCGTTTTTGCTGAAAGGGCAGAGGAAGGCAGATTTGAGGGTGATGAATTCTACAGGATTGCACCTTGTTCTTTAGTACTACTGACTCTGACTGAAACGAGTGGGCTCCAAGCCAGGGCTTTGGATTTCTTCTGAGCTAATGGTTAAAAGACGGTGCCTCTGTCCCTCTTCTCCCAGCCCCTGGCTCTACCTTCCTCCCTTTGTTCAGAAAGGCGGGATCTTTTAAACCGAAGAGGGCCTTAAAGATGATTTGTTTTTGATTTTGTTTTTTGCGGTACGCGGGCCTCTCACCGTTGCGGCCTCTCCCGTTGCGGATCACAGGCTCCGGACGCGCGGGCCCAGCCGCTCCGCGGCATGTGGGATCCTCCCGGACCGGGGCACGAACCCGCGTCCCCTGCATCGGCAGGCGGACTCTCAACCACTGCGCCACCAGGGAAGTCCCTTAAAGATGATTTTTTAACTGTCACCAAATGAGAGGCCTGGGCCCAGAGCCAGAAAGCTCTTGCCCTGGAGCCCGCAGAGGGAGAGGAGGAGGCGGGGACAGAGGCCGGGGCCTGGCTGGGGTCCAAGCGCTGCTTCGGCTACTTACCTGGGACATGTCGGTCGCCCTCTCTGAGTCACTGGGTGGGATGCGAGGCCAGAGAGAATGATAGTGCCTGCTCTGCTTCCTACACTGGGTGACTGCATTTTCCTGATTACTCCTGAGGCTTAGGTATCTTTATGTTTATGGACCATTTGAATTCTTCTTTCATGCAGTGACTGTTCTAGTGTGTTTCCCGTTTTCTTCAACAGGTTGTCCTTTTTCCCACTGATTTCTTTTCAGTTTTTCATATGGGCTGTGCACTTGCTATTTGTTGGTATAACCAGCAAGTATCTTCTGAAGCCTGTCTTTCATTCTCTTTATGGAGACTTTAAGTGAACAAACTTCCTAATCTGGGGGGGGAAGTAAAGGGAGACCAGCCAAATGAGAACAAACGGAGGCATGTATTCCAAGGTTGCTATGGTAAAAGCTGCTATCATTTGCGTTTGGCAGAGACTCCGAGGCAGGCAGGGGAGTGGGAAAGCTTGACGACGGAAGAGGGGAAGGCTTCAGGGCTGCTCTGACTGGCGGCTGTTGCCAGGGGGAAGCTAGCTGCAGGTGGCTAACTAGAAACCAGGCATCTTAAATGATTCGTTTGGGAAACATACGTGGCTTTCTCTGGTTGGTCCTGAGTTGGAAGCAGGGACAAAAGTTGGGGAGCTGCAGACATGGGCCAAGTCCTGACTGTTCTAGGCTGATTCCTTGCCCGTCTACTGCAGATGTGTGGGTCACAGTTGTATTGTCATCTATGGTCTGGCCATTGTCTGTCTGTATACTGTCTGTCCGTTTCTAAAGTTTTTTTAATCTTTTCTCGTTTGTGCTCTTTGTGTCTTCTTTAAGAACTTCTCTCTGGCCTCAGGGTCATGAAGATATTATCCTATATTTCCTTCTAAAAACTTTATAAATTGCTTTTCTCACTGGGTCTTTTTAAAGACATCTGGGATTGATTTTGGTGACTACTGTAAGAGGAGAACCTAGTTTTATATGTTTTTTCATGAAGATACCTGGTTGTCTCAGCACCATTTATTGAAAAGTCAGTTCCTTCCTCACCATTCTGAAGAGCCTCCTCTGTTCATATATAAAGGACTCATATGTGCATGCATCTGTTTTAAAACTCTGTTTTGATTTATTTGTCCCATTGTCTATCCCTGTGCCAGTAGCACATTATCTTAATTCTATAGTTTTGTACTAAGCTTTATTATTTGTGAGAAACAAGTCTTTCTTTTCTTCTTCTTCTTTTTTTTTTTTTTTTTTTTGCGGTACGCGGGCCTCTCACCGCTGTGGCCTCTCCTGCTGCGGAGCACAGGCTCCGGACGTGCAGGCTCAGTGGCCATGGCTCACGGGCCCAGCCGCTCCGCGGCACGCGGGATCCTCCCAGACCGGGGCACGAACCCGCGTCCCCTGCATCGGCAGGCGGACTCTCAACCACTGCGCCACCAGGGAAGACCTTTTCTTCTTCTTTAGAAGTGACTTGGCTTTGAACTTTCACATAAATTTTACTATTTGTCAATTTCTATCCCCCAAAAACAAACCTGTTGGGCTTTTGATAGAAATTGCTTTTAAATCTGTGAATCAAGTAGGGGAAAACAGACATCTTTACAATATTGAGTCTTCCAAATCATGAGCTTATAATTAGACCTTTAATGCCTCTCAATGCTTTATAGTTTTCTCTGAGGTCTTGCATATGTTTTGTTAAATTTATTCTTAGGTATCTAATACTTTTGGTGTATGATAAATGGAATGTTAAATTGTCATTTTGAAAATGTTATTGGTATAAAAAATAAATTTTTAATTTTGTACCCAATTAAACTCTTATAAATTTTAGTAAGTTATCTGTATTTTCTTTTGAATTTTCTGTATATACAGTCCTGCCAGTGATGACAGTCTGGTCGCTCTCTTTTCAGCCTGTGTGCCTTTTCTTTCTTTCGCCTTACTGTGCTGGCTGGTGCCTTCACTACGACTGTTCATAGCAGTGACGGTTGGACACACTCTTGTCTTATTCCCAAGTTCAAAAGGAAAGTGTTTAATGTTTCGTCAGTAAGTGTGGTGTTTGCTACAGGCTTTTCTGTAGATGCTCTTTATGAGACTAAGAAAGTTCTATTTTATTCCTAATTTGCTAAACGGTTTTTAAAAAAAAAATCATAAGTGGGTGCTGAATAAATTTTTCTGCACTTATTTAGATGATTGTATGATTTAATCTGCTAATATGGTGAATTGTTAATTGACTTTTTATTATTTTGTTCATATTTTTCAGTCATTGCTTGTTAAATTCACCAAAGACTGCACATTGCGTTTACTTGTGCTGCCTCTTTAAACCCTTTTAATCTAGAGTAGTTCTTTAGCCTTTTTTTTCCCTTTCTTTCTTTTGTGTGTGTGTGTGTCCTTGAAAATTTGAGGCTGGCTTTTTTTGTGCCCACTGCAATTTGGATTGGTCCAAACAGTTTCTTTGTTGCTAGAATCAGATTAAACTCTTCAGGTAGAAATACAATGTAGATCATGTTGTGTCCTTGATGTGTAACATTCAGCGATACATGTGACGTTAGCAAATATTTTCATTGGTGATGTTAAATTTGATAATTTGGTTAAGGTGGTGTCTGCCAGATTTCTCCCTTGTAAAGGTACCTCCCCCCATGTGATTTATAAGTTGTCTGTAGGGAGATACTGTGGTACTGAGTGACTGTTCTTATACCCAATGGTTTTTAGCATCCATTGATGATTCTTGGCTGAATTATTACCATGGTGAGTGTAAGATGGTGATTTTAAAATGGCTATCATTCCTCCTACTATTGTTAGTTGGCATTCCTCCATAAAATAAAATTCTCTTCTCTGCCCCGCTCTTTTTAGGTTTTATCTTTCTAATATAAAATGGACATATGGATTCTTTTATTAATCAGTATATTATAACCCAGTCCTGTCATTACTCATTTTGATGCTCAAGTTATTGGCCAGTGAGAGCCACTTCAAGCTGACTCCTGTTTCCCCATCAATTTTTAAGGACTTTTTAGCTTTATGGAACAAGTTATTCCAGGCTAATCTTCTATTTTCCCTATCTCACCATGCAATTAGCAACGTCTTTAAGGTGCCAATTGATAGGGGATTTTATTTAGAAACCAAGATCGAGATGCCAGGGGTGTTCATTGCTTCTGGAGTGTCATTATGTCTAAGTTCTCTCAGTGGACAGAGCCAAGAAATATTGTTTTCTTTTTAACGAGATAAATTTATACAGATATCTCTTAATTTTAGTTAGAATTAGGCTTTTATCTCCTTCCTCTATTCCTGATTTGTATTGTCCTTATCCCACAGTGTAAGCTGAGGTTACAAAAATATTGATAAATTTATTCATTTGCTGAATCCTACAATACATCCAACACAATATTGGAATTACTGCAACAATAACACCACCACAAACAAAGTTCGAAATCTCTTTGTGGTTCTTTTGTCCTTAGAATATGTCCCACGCAGGGTATATAATCAATATACTTTTATCAAAATCACTTGTTTTAACTCTTTTTCTTTTGTTCTCTCTGTGTGGTTATGTTATGTATTTGACATATAGTTAAATTTGCCTCTGTTTCTATTCACTTATAAAGTTTCTCCCATTCCTGATTTTACTTTAGTTTTTGAATATATAAAGCATTAACATGGTTCAAAAGTCAAAACTGTGTGAAAAGATATACCCAGAGAAGTGTCATTCCCATCCCTATCCCATCCATCCCATTTCCACCTATCCCTGTCGGTAACCAATTTCATTATTGTCATATCCTTTCTATGTTTCTTTTTGCAAATATATATTCTATATTTTCTTCCTTCTTGCACAAAGATAATCTACTATAAACTTCTTTTTCATCTTGATTTTTTTCACTTAATAATATATCCTGAAATTACATTATATCTGTTCAGAAATCTTTTTTATTTTTTTTCCAGCTGTAGGATATTCCATTATGTACCATATATATTTAACCAGTCTCCCAATATGCACATTAGATTGTTTCCAGTATTTTGCTACTTTAAGTAATGCTGTCATGAACAATTGTG